TGAGATTGAAAGCAACGCATTTCAATCATAAACAAGTATCTTAAACAAATCCAATTACACAGGTTCAAGGGGAGAACTAGCTACGTTTGATTGTGTAAACAAACTAAAGATATGACTATGAATTAACAGTGGGGAAAATAATTAAATAATTCAAAATATTCACCAAAAATGCATTCCATTGGGACACAAAATCTCATCTTAAAGATCCATCTGTGGCTTACTCTGGAAGTTAAGCACAGCGTTATCTTAAAAAAAAGGCTTATAAGGTTTCTAAGAATAGCAGCAAATCTGAGGATTAGCAATGAAACCTGCTGAAGAGCCACTAAAAACCTATTTAAAAAAAAGGAAAGAACAGAATATAAGAACAAACTAATATGGAATACAAATTCAGTTTGCAAGAACTTTTTACAAGTACACAAAAAGGAATGGAGTAACTAAAGCAAATATTGGTCCCTTAGAAACAAAGGCAGGAGATGTTATTGAGGTATGAGGAAATGGCACAGACTTTGAACAAATACTTTGAGTTTGTCTTCACAGGCACAAGTCAGATACCAGAAACAGAGGTTAAGCCAGGTGGTAAAATATGAGGACATCAAGAAAATTATCAACACAGAAAACACTACTAGAGAAACTTAAGGGACTAAAATCTGATAAATCCTCAATCCAATAGCCTACACTTGAATAAAGAAAGCTGTAGAGGATCTTCTGATTAGGATTTTTTAGAATTCTCTAGATTCTGGAATGGTCCGAAACAGACTGGAAGTTAGCAAAGATCACATGACTAATCAAGAAAAGAAGCTGATGGAAATAGGTCAGTTAGCCTGGCATCAGTCAATGGGAAAATGCTGAAATATATTACTAAGGAAGACTTAGTAATGCACTTAGAAAATAACAGTATAATCGAAATCAACAGGGCATTATGCAAGGCATTGATAAGGTAAATAGGAGATGACATGTACCTGGACATTCCAAAGGCATTAGAGATGGTCAATTGGCAAGATAAGGGCTCATAGAATCAAAAGTAATATGCTAACATGGAGGAGGATTGGTTAATCAACAGCAAGCAAACAGTGCGCATAAAAGGGATATTCTCAAGTTGATAGGCTGTGACTATTGGGAGTGTTGCAGGGGCAGTGCTGGAGCTTCAGCTATTTCAAACCTTATTAACGGCTTAGACAGAGAGAAGGCCATGTACCTAAGCTGGAGTCGAAAGTGTCAGTAGAAGTGTTAGTTGTGAGGAGGACAGAAGCAACAAAGAGATGTGGACAGTTTAGGTGAGTCGGCAGAAAGATGGCAGATGGTGTATAACATGGGGAAATGTGAGGTTCTTTGGTTGACAAAGTAAAATAAGCAGATTTTTTTTGAAAAAGAATGGCATTTCTAAATGCTCATGTTCAACGAGACAAGTGTGCTTGCACAAGAAACACAAAGGTAGCACGCTATAGAATTGAATATCTTTTCACTAATTATTTACTGACTTCAGTCAAAAAAGTTGAACTTGTGTTTAATTACGGTCGGTCATAAAACTATTATTTCTCTGTGACAAAGGCCACAGAGTGTTACAGTAATGGATATATCCATCTTTTAAATTTTTTTAAAATGATAGTTGAGAATGTAAATTCAATGATTGTCTAAAACCACTGCATGCATTACAGAGCTGAGAGAGAAAGTCTGAAAGGTTACACCTGAAGAATGTCATTGGAACTTCAGACAGCAACACTCCAAAGAGGGAGATGCCAAAAAAACTGATCTGTGATCATCTGCGGATTGTGTCCCAGGCTACAGGTTGAAAGAAAGGCAGTTCTGGGTGAAAAACATGTTTCTATTTTATCCTTCCAAAAATACACAAGAAACAGGGTTAAAAACTAACTGAAACCGCAGCCTGTGCGTGCTGGTATGCTAGTGTGCTAACATATCATTTGAATTGCATTGTGTTGAAGTGTGCTGTGAACACACACAGCTGAGAACTTCCACTAGACATCTCTACAGATGCAGTTAAAATAAAAAAAATTCTCACTGATTGCTGAACAGAAGTCATTAGCAAAGCTACTGTTGAAGGAAAGTGGATGATCTCTTTTCAGTTAATTGAAGAACCAAAATGTTTCAAATAACCATGCAACTGCCAAAGTCAGCGCTATTGGAATCATTCACTTTAATGGCCTCAATGTTTCAAAATCTATTCATAACAGACAAGCCAAAGACTGTTTCTTTTTTACCTTTACTTTCTGTACTCACCTTTCATATGTATGTGTCTCACGTTTTATTATCTTTTCACACTTTAATAGCAAAAAATACATTCTTTCTTTAACTGAAGAGAGCCTGGTTACATTGACACTTTTTAAAATATAAATATATACGAGTTTGGAAACCATATCCATAAGGAAGGGAATATCTTTAAATTAATCTTGCTGTGATCGATTGAGAGAATGGCTGAGTAAAGAAGCAGAACAAGCTCATTCCTCCTCAGCAAGCAGTGTAAAACAAATGGGGAACAGTATCATTTCCTCTCTGAGAGAATTCCAAAGGTTCATAACCCTTTATCTCAGAGGATTGCAGCTCCATTGTTGATTATATTTAAAGCTGGGATATAGACAGATTTTAGCCTCTCAGGAATTCAAACGATGTAAGAAGCGGGCAGGAAAATAAAGTCAAAGTCTAAGATCAGAACAGTAACACTGAATGGTTGAGTAGACTTGATGGATTGTATAGTCCACTCCTCCTATCTAATCTTCGTATACCTGGTGAGCTACTCTTTTTAGATTATCCAGCCTGTTCTCTGCTGTTGTAGTCACATTGTTGACATAGCTGGCTGAGTTAAGCTTCTGAGCAGTAGTCATTTCCAAAATGCTGATGGGGAACACTTGGCATCAGTTATTGAAGGTTGTGTCTTATTGTAACGGCCAGTCTCTTGTGATGGAAATGCTAAATGGTTCAAACATTGATATCATATTGTCTTGCAAGGTAACATGGGCTGCTTTATTATGGAGGAGTTCTGGATGGAGCTGAACACTCAAATTATCAGCAAATGGCTCCACTCTGGAGCACTAATAAAGCAGATGCAAGAAAGTGAACTGAAATAGTTCTGAGAAACCTCTGTCATGCTATTCTGGGCCTTTAACAAATAGTGTCATAACTAATCACTCTTCTTGGTGTCACATATGTTGCTGGCAATGAAGTCTTTTCTCTGACACCCAATGATCTAAGTTTTGCTAAGGTGCCACAGTATTTTAATGAGTTGAATGTGGCTTTGATATTAAGTGCAGCTCCCCTTATCAGGCATTCAGGGCTTGCATCCATGTCTGGATCAAGTCTGTGCTAAGATTTGGAGTCAACAGACACTAGCAGAATTAAAACGGAGTGCCAATGAGCAGATATTGATGTCTAGTCAGTGCTTGATATCATGATGACAACTCCAACACGTTACTGATTAAAATTAGAGCTGATGGCTTGATAATTTAGCTGGCTAACATTAATCTTGTCTTTTGAGGATGGAACATAACTATTCTCCACACTTAGATAAATGCCAATATGATAACTCTACTGGACACTTGTCTGGAGAGTGACGAGCAGATACAATGGTCTTTAAAACTACAACTAGGACACTAACAGGGCCAACAGTTGCTGTGGGTCAGTTCAGTCACTTCTTAGACGTTGTGTGAAATCAACACAATTCATTGGACATTTAATGCTGTTACAGATGGCACTTTGAGAAAAGCTCAAGCAAGATCATTCAGTGATTTGTCTCATGGGTAAACGGGCATATTTCAACATAAACTCCTTCTGTCTTCCATGTAGATCCACATGATTTCAACGTTATTTTTGCTACAAAATTAATATTTCCACATTTTTAAAGAAAGTAACAGCTACCGTGTTGAATTTTCGTTTGGTTCTGTGGTTGAAGTCAACATAGAAATTTAAATGTCCTATAGTCCCAGGCAAAATGAAAATGGTCCATGGTCCCAGAGAAAGTGTACAAAACTGTTTGTACAAACAAGTACTATCATCAACCCTGAAAGAAGAAGTCCCTTCCAATAACTGTTAGCATTAATCACATTCGTTTTCTATACCTTCATAAAAGGATTATGCCAAGACTATTGCAATGCCAATATCATTGACTGCAGGTACTTAGACAACGAGCTCTTCAGTTCAGAAGAGAACAGGAAAGAATATAAAATAAATTTGGTTAAATATCTATTATTACATGCAAAATAAAAAGTTTTATCTTTGAGAATAAACTGATTTTGGAGGACATTTTACATCACAGCTATCTGAACTCAAACTGAGGTCAACTTTTTCAGACCATGAGCTCTGTTCCACACCTATTTTGATTCTGTTTTACTGCTACATGCTGGTCTGAACCTTGCTTTTCACATTTTTGCTTCCAGTCAAAACTTCTTCATTATTCTGCCTTTCATTCTCAATCTAGTCAAATCTTTGTTCCTTTATTACAATCATTACCACCCCCTTTGCTTTATGTTATGTTTGATATTTAACCTCTCCCATTCTCTATCCCCAGACACTTCCTTCATTCTTCATTGCCTATACTCTCATCCAGTAACAGAAAATCTACCACATTTTTGCCTCCCTTCAGTTCTAAAGAGCCTTATTCTTCTTTAAACATTCGCTTAGTTCCTATATCCTCAGATGCTGCCAGACCCACTGAATATTTCTAGCACTTTTGATTTTATTTTAATAGTATACTTGTTTTTTTCAATGATATTCTGTTAAGCACACCACAGTTATTCTATAAATGAGAAAATAAACCAGACCATGGTTGCAGTAATCAAGTAAAGCAGAAAATCAATGCTTATGAAAAGGTGAAGATCAAATTTTTATATTAGTTGCCCCTTTAAGTTTATATTTAAAGGTTGATATTTGGCAGTACCTAACAACTAAATTCATGCATTAAACATGGAAAGTATTATACTAATGGAACCTAGCTGGAAAGCAAGGCATCCAGTTAAAATATGTCACAACCTACTAAACAGAGGACTGCCTACCACGTGTATTCGTAGCCATGTCTGCCACTTTCTGAAATGCATCCAAAAAGGCCGCAGCAGCCATCACCGTTGTCCTAGAACAGAAATAAAAACCATGAACACTGATTTATTAATTCTATTCTGTTTATTTTTAAATGGTAGCTCTACGTCATTGTAGACACTACAGGTTAGATCGTCTTCTTGACTGCTGGGACACAGCTCGATAAAAACCATCAAGAAAAATAATGGAAGAATCATAAAAGCAATGTGCCCAATTTTGTGGTCACAGCATCTACCTCATCAAATAAAAATCAAAAGAACTGCGGATCCTGTAAATCAGGAACAAAAACAAAAGTTGCTGAAAGAGCTCAGCAGGTCTGGCAGCATCGGTGAACAAAAAATCAGAGTCAACGTTTCGGGTTCGCTGAGCTTTTCCAGCAACTTCTGTTTTTCTACCCCATCAGGTTCTTCAAATTAGTTCTGAAGAGTAATCCATCTAATCTTGCTTTAAAAGACAGTTGCCAGTATGAGAAATACTGGAAGCTCATTGCTGCTACATGTAATATCCACTCCTCGGTTTGCAGTTGAAGGAATACTTACATAAATAGAAATACTTAATGCCTTCAATGGGAAAGCAACCTGGGAGATATATCTTTGAAGAATTTCCACAGTATTTCCCAGTAACGCATACCACTCAGCTATATGTGAATGATCACCCTAAAGTGAGAGTTCAAATTAAAACTTTTCAGTAAAACATAAAAATTGGTTCAAATAACTGCCTAATAAATTGTAAATAATAATTAAGTTATTGTTCCAAGTAGACATCCCACAGGGGAAAGAAGTGACGTGCTGTCAAAAGTAAGATCAAGAACTTAGGTGAAAAAAAACCTATTTCACACACCTTTGAAACAGGTGGGACTTGAATCTATGTAAGATTTTGCTTACAGAAGACTCATCAGATTGCTACAACAAGAATCAAATGCACTCAAACTTACCCTTGCTGCACTTCTCACTAGAAAAGATCAAGAGATGTATACTACTATCCAACTCACTAAGCTCTACTTATTGACAATGGTTACCAAGAATTGTGTTAAGAACATTATACAAGTTTAATTTATATTTTGGTTTCTTTTTGTGGCTTTAGACTTCTTGGGAGTTTGGTGCTAAAGAGTCTGGAAGCCTAAGCACTTACCAGCATTTGCATTTACTTGAGATCTTACAACTTTGAAGTGAAAAGCTGGGGGTGAATAATTCACTCCATTAAAAAGCTAGAGAAAAAAATCTGTATTGTTGCCTAGTCACAGGGATCCAGTGACCCAGTGACAGAGCACTCCAGAAAGTCAGTGCGTGCATAGGTGTGGAGACTGCTCAACTCTCTAACAAGAAATCTGGCAAATAAAAAGCTAGAAATTGAGTTTAAAGAACTTGTGTTTGCTCTGAAGTTAATGAAATAGTGAGTTTAGTTTACAGTTTGTTTTAGGTATCTCAGGACACCTGGGTTTTGTAAAAATATTGCTGAGCAAAAAGGAACTGGAACTTTGAATCATTTTCTAATATTTGTAAGGAAGCTTTTCAATTTTTGTTTGGCTACTGCAATATAGTTCAGCTTGTTCCCTTGTTGGCAGACTGACCTCCACAGTTAATATCTAACGAGTCACGTTTCATTATGGGATCTGACTTGTCCGGTATTAATTTCAGCTGGGACTGTAACAATTACATGAATTATATATTTTCCCCAGATAATAGTGGATTTGTTAAATAGGCTGCCTATTCATAAGACAAAAGGAAAATCATTTAATTGTTTCCAGCAAGAGCCAAGATGCATTTCTGATTAGGGCAAAGATCACCTCTTACAGCAACAATTGCACAACAATTAGTCAGAACTAAAGTCATGTGCCAGGACTAACTTCAATCATTTAAAGGATCAGAGGGAAACTTTCCAAATTTCTTTTCTGAGATGATCTGAATTTCTAATCCATCTTCCCCACTTCTCCTAAGAGACAGCATCACTTTTGAATGAAGTGGCTAATGTAACCATTAGATCAATTTTTGCTCAGATATTCAACAAGTCAATATTATTTTTTGCAGGAGACTTTCAAATTGGCAGATTAAGCTTCAAATTGGTAATTTCCTGCAACAAAAGCATTTCAGATATAATTAACTACCTAAACTTTGGTTTTCACTAATCTGTCTGCATGCCAAAATCAGTTGTGTGTTGAATACTAACAGAAAGGTGTGTAAACAAATAGACTGCTTTTAAGTGTTAACTATAAAGAAAACAGAATTAAACTGTTCTGAAAATCATTTACACAGAACATCCAAACACTAGGTGATTCTTTTTATAGTTTCAACATGTTCTTCCAAATTGACACCAAAGTGGTCTCCAACTGCATCCTCCTTTTGGCAGGGATTAAAAGTTCCTGATTCAGTTATTTCTATTCAAGTGAAATAGTTAGCCAGAACTGAAGAATAAGACTTGCAAACTCTTTAGAATATATAAAGTATTGCATACTAAGGGGAAAAAATTGTGCTCTTGATATGTGCTTTCAGTTAAGCATTTGAAGCCTTTTGCAACTTGAAAACCTGCGCAAGTATTTAACTGTTGTGAATTTAAAATGCAGGCACACCAATATGACCATGTTAACTGCTTCACAAACCAAGGTACTACTGCTGACCAAGTGGTGCAGACATCTCCTCCCTAAATAATATAGGATGCTTGAAATAGCAGCAATTGTGTCAGATATAGGCACACTAGGTAGAAGCAGCTTAAACACTCATTTTTGGACAGAAATCTAAGTGTCTAAACTTCCTTCAGAACCAATTCAAGACAGTAGCAGACACTGGAGCAAGGAAATGAAGAGAGAAAATCTGCTTATTGATGGGCAACGATTTTATTCATTTTGAGTACAATTCATCACGTGTTGAAACTGAGTGTCCATGCTTTGGGTCCATTCTCACTTTGTCAATCCATCTGTTCAGTAAAGAGGCAAGAGAAAAGGCATAATTTTAAGATGTTCTGACTATTAAGGAAGTGCAAAGAAGTTTTACCAGACTAATTCCTGGGATTGCAGGATAGAGTGAGATTGGATTGGTTACAGTTATGGTCATAGAGGCAGGGCTATATTCACTAGAGTTTAGAAGAACAAGGGAAGATCTCACAGAAACATTCTAATTGGATTAGACAGCGTAGATGCGAGAAGGATGTTCTTGATGACCAGTGAATAATGAATTACATGGAATTATTTATTTTTCCAGATAATAGTGGATTTGTTAAATAGGCTGCCTATTTGTAAGACAAAAGGAAAATCATTTAATTGCTTCAAGCAAGAGCAATGACCCATTTCTGATTCTTTTTTGGGAGGGGGTGGGGAGTGGTTCACAGTCTGAGGAGAGGGGTAGGTATTTACTGACAGCGAGGAGGAGAAATTTCTTCCCCCAGACAGTTTGGAGCAATGCAGCATTGAGTGTTTGATGCTGACACTCGATAACAAAAAGTAGGAAATGTTAACTGTGCTTCTTCATTGGTTCAACTCCATATGAATATAAAATTGCTGTTACACTATGCAAAGGAAACACCAAGGATAAAATGTGTAAGTGTGTTGAGATAGCATCAGGATTGTCACATCCCCGAAATATAATAATTCCTGATTTTGTTTTTTGTTTCCAGTCTTTTATACCCCTCCTTTACAAGCAACATTATACAGGTGTATCTGACACAGTCCTTTAATAAGAGTGTATCTAAAGCACAGAGCTTTTTGATTTTAGATTTATTCTGGATGTTTTCCTTACTATTTTGCAGATACCATGGCTAAAATTGCCACAGTTTCCTGCAAAAGTAAAAAGTATTTAAGCTTACCTATTTTACCAATATTTCAGGCGACCAGTAGGTCATTTCAAAAGCTTTATGTTGCACCAGTTGGGATTAAAAGTCTGCCAGGCAAGATTGATAAACTGATCCTTGCAACAGTTAGTGCTGCTCCTTTTCAAATAGTTAAGGTTGGCTATTGTATGTGGGGATGAAGGGAGTATATTTCCAGTCAAGGAAACTTTATTCTCAGAGAGAGAGAGACAGAGAGAGAGGGAGAGAAGGAGCGGGCAGGAGAGGGGGAGGCAGAGGGAGGGAGGGAGAGAGAGAGGGGGAGAGAGGGAGGGGACAGGGGAAGCAGAGGGAGGGAGGGAGCAGGTGAGGGAGAGCGCCAGAGAGAGAGAGAGCGAGAGCGCGAGAGCCAGAGAGAGCAAGAGAGCGCGAGAGACAGAGAGAGCGCGAGAGAGTGTGCAAGAGCTGGTGTTGGTTAAACCTGAGGGTCACCACACCTCAGATGATGGGAGAAATTGAGAAAGAGTGTCCTTCATGGTAACCTAAGCCAGTGCGGGAAGTAAACCCATGTTTGTTAGCATAACTGTACACCACAAACCAGCCAACAGAGGTAGCCAACCCCTACTTTATTCAAATTTAAAACAATAGTAAAAGTAAATTACAAAGTTCCTATATTTCAATTACTTCTGAATAATTTAAAGAATTAAAAATTAGAGTAGTTCTTCCCTCATTAAACTAATACAATATATTCAAAAGGGCACTTCTTAACGCAAGTGCTTATTGCAATTAGCATTCTAATCAATTTTCTGTAGCTCACTACAATTTCAAGGAAATGAAGATAAAAAGCAGTTTTGATCATCATCTATACTGCAGGTTTGAGCCAGACAATTCCCAGATCCTAACACAATCCTTGACTGGTAACTTGACAGCTTGTCATTCTGACAACATCAGAATTCCAAACAGTTTGTTCAAAAACAATTTATTGTACAAATTTCCTTTTATCTTTCAAGTGTCTTTTAATTTAAAGGACAGCCATCACCATCAAGTTACCAGTTTCTAACATTTAGTGCAAAAGATGATATTTTAATGTTAACTTACCTGAGTTGGGACTGCAGCTTACCCGCTTTGTTAATAAAATCTTCCCAGATTGGGTAGCTCCCCTGTGGAAACAAAGAAAATACTGTAAAACACAGCATTTTATAACACCTGCTAATCTTTGTATCACTTATAAAACAATAAAGTTAAACTTCTACAATACACTTGCATCAAAACTCTATGGATGTGGAGTAGACCATTTAGGACTGACATGAGGGTAATGCACCAGTGGAATTCTCTATCACAGAAGACCGTGGAGGATGATTCATTGAATGAGAGAGACATATCTTTTTCGATTTTAAAAGTATCAAGGAGTATTCTGAGAAAGCAGGAATACGACATTGAGTCACAGAGGTCTGCACCAGTCAAAAAACAACCACTTAACTATTCTAATCCCTCTTTCCAGCACTTGGCATGTTGCTCTATATGCCGTGGCATCACAAATGTACATCTAAATATTTCTTAAATGTTATGAGGGTTTCTGGCTCCACACTCTTACAGGCAGTGAGTTTCAGATTCCCACCACCCTCCAAGTGAAAAAAAATTCTTCACCTTCTAACTGCTTACCTTAAATCTATGCCCCTGGTCATGGTCCACCATCCTTGCCACGAAGGGAACAAGTTCCACCCTCTTCATCCTGTCTCTGACCCTCAGCTTTAGACATCTCAATCATTTCACCCTCTTAGTCTCCTCTGCTCCAAAGAAGTCAACACTAGTCTATCCATTGTCTTTTCATTACTAAAACTCTTCATAGAGTCATACAGCACGGAATTAGTCCAACTAGTCCATACTGACCATGATCCCAAACCAAACTAGCTCTACTTACATGCGTTTGGCCCATATCCTTCCAAATCTTTCCTATTCATGTACCTATCCCAATGTCTTTTAAATGCTTTAATTGTACCTGCATCCACCACTTCTTCTGGTAGTTCATTCCACAAACGAACCACTCTGTGTAAAAACGCTGCGCCTCATGCCTTTTTTAAGTCTTTCTCCTCTCACTTTAAATATACGCCCTCTAGATTTGGACTCCCCACCCTCGGGAAAAGACCCTTACCATTCACCTTATCCATGCTTTCAAGATTTTATAAACCTCAATAAGGTCACACTCCACCTCCTATGCTCCAGTGAAAAAAGTCCCAGCCTACTTTTATAACTCAAACACTCCATTCCCGACAACATCCTGATAAATCTTTTCTGAACTGTTTCCAATTTAATAATATCCTTCCTATAATGCAGATTCCAGAACTGCACACAATATTCTCACTGTGGCCTAACCAAATTTTTATATGGTTCCAGAATTTACCTCCTTGCCCTTAAACTCTATGTCTCAGCTAAGAAAGGCAAGTATGCCAAATGCCAACAAGGATTGGTTAGCTCAGTTGGCTGGGTGGCTGGTTTGCAATGCAGAATGCCACCAAAAGCATGGTTTTAATTCTGCTAAGGTTACCGTGAAGGACTCTCCTTCTCAACTTCTCTCCTCACCTGAGGTGTGGTGACGCTCAGGTTGAACCATCACCCATCATTAGTCTCTAATGACAGAGTAGCTCTATGGTCAGATAAGACTGTGGTGACTTTACCTTTTATCTCATATGCCTATTTAGCCACTTAACTATCTGTCCTACAATGTAAAGGCACCAGTGATCATGCACACTAAGGTTCCTCTGATTCTCAGTGCTTCCCAGGTTCCTACTATTCATCACGTATTCCCTTGCCTCGTTTGTGCTACCAAGTACATCATCTCACACTTATCCAGATTGAACTCCATTTGCCACTATCAGCCCAGACTACTGTGACTATATCCTCCTGTAATCAAAGGCAATCCTCCTCACTACTTAACCAATTTCCATATCAGCTGCAAACTTACTGATCTAAATTATTTAAATATACCACAAATAGCAAAAGACCCAACAATGACTCCTGCAGAACCCCAGTGAACACACGTTCTTAGTCACCCCTTGAGCATCACGTTATCGTTCCTGCCACTCAGCCAATACTGGATCCATTTAGGCAAATCTTCTTGGATCCCATGGGGTCTTACCTTGACTATCAGTCTCTCGTGCAGGATCTTATCTAAAGCCTTGCTGAAGTCCAAACAGACTGCACAGATGCATTGCCCTCATCTACACACCTGGTCACCTTTTTGAAAAATTCAATCAAGTTGGTCAGCCCTTAACAAAGCCACACTGTTGCTCCCGATTAATCCCTGCCTCTCCAAGTGCAGACTAAATCTGTCCCTCAGAATTGTTTCCAACAGTTTCCTCACCACTGAGGTTAGACTGACTGGCCTGTAGTTTCCTGGTTTATCCCTTGCTCCCTTTTTCAATAAAAGGACCACATTGGCTGTCCTCCAGTCCTCTGGCATCTCTCCTGTGGCCACAGAGGAATTAAAACTTATTGCCAGCGCTCATGCTATTTCCTCCCTTGCTTCACTCAAAGCCTGGGACACAATGCATCTGGCCCTGGAGACTGATCCACTTTTAAAAATGACATTCAAAACCTCTTCTCTGTCTATGCCAATTTATTTTCAGTATTTCATTGGCATTCTCCCTAATTTCTACACCCACATCATCCCTTTCACCAGTGAACACTGACACTGACACAAAGTATTCATACAGAACCTCACCTATGTCCTCTGGCTCCACAAACAGATTACATGGCAGTTCTTAATGGGCCCTACGCTTTCCCAAGTTAACGTTTTACTCTTGATTTATTTCTAAACTTATTTAGGATTTTCCTTTATTTTGTTCTTTCTTATCTCTTTTTTGTACTCCTAATTTCATTTTTAAGTTTCCCCTCTAGGGCTTCTACTGTTTTGAGCCCTCAGTAGCTGCCATAAGTCTACCTTTCTGTCCTGATATCCAGGGTTCATGGGATTCACTGGTCTCATCCTTGGACTTTACTGGAGCATGACAACATAAGACTGACCGTCATCCCTTCTTGAACTTGACCCACTGCTCTCACATAGTTTGTGTAAATTTATCTAATTAAAATTGGCCTTTCCCCATTATAGAACCTGATTTCAGGCCCATCCTTGACCTTTTCCATAACAATCTTGAATCTAACAGAGTTATGATCACTGTCTGCAAAATGCTGGTCCCACTTACCCAGCTTAAAATAATAGAATCCCTACAGTGCAGAGAGGCCATTCAGCCCATCGGGTCTGCACCAACGTTCTGAAGAACATTCCACCCAGACCCACCTCTTCATATAGTTTCATTACCTATGGTTAAGTTCAGGACCAGCCCTGCTCTTATACTTTCTTCTTCATACTGGCTTAAAAATCCATCCTGGATGAGTTTTAAAACTTCCGCTCCCTCTGAACCTTTCACACTATGATGACCAGTTAATGTGGGGCAAGTTGAAATCCACTACTACCCTATTTCTTTTTTCACATTTCTGAAACTTGCATATACACCTACTCTATTTCTCTCAGACTATTACGATGCCTATAGTACACTCCAGGAATGTGATTGCTCCTTTTTGGCTTCTTAAGTTCTACCCACATGGCTTCATTTAAGGAGCCTTCAAAGATGTCATCCCTCCTTACTGCTGGAATTGATTCCCTGATCAATATTGTGACACACCCTCCTCTTTTACCTCCTTCCCTGTTGCATCCAATGACTCTGTGCCTTGGAATATTGAGCTGCCAGTCTGTCCTCTCTTAACCATGTCTTAATGACAGCAATGACATCATATTTTCATGTTTTAATTTGTGCCCTCAACTCATCTGGTTTGTTCATCAGACTCTTTACATTAAAACAAACACCATCCAACCTTGCCAAACCCCCTAAGCCTTCAATAGCCTGTATGTTATATGCCTTCTTGAGATAGAGAATCAGCCATGATCATGTTGAATGGTCGATGTGGCTCGAAGGCTGTTTGGCTTACTCCCACTCCTAGTTTCTACGATGTTTTTTCGTATTTTCTGCCCAAATGTGTTTTTTGTTTTGTCAGATTACTCTGATCAGGGATTACAGAAAATGTAGAGAAGAACATTAGCCAATTAGACAGGAACAAGAACAAAAGTTGCTGGGAAGCTCGGCAGGACTGGCAGCACCTGTGAAGAAAAAAATCAGAGTTAACGTTTCGGGTCCATTGACCCTTGCTCAGAGCTGGGGAGTTTAGTGGGCTTTCTTTGGAACCGAATCAGTCCAAGAACTTAAATCTAACAGTGGAAGATAGGAATTAACAAACATTTGAGAGATCTGATAATCTGATACTTTGGTAGGTAAAGATAGCTAACTTAACTCATTTAATGCAACCCGAGAGAGTAAACCTGTCTTTGAGGATTAGGTTACTTCCACTAGGTGATCCTGCAAATTACTGTCCACTGTAACCAGCTATACAACTGATTGAAAATTTGTTCATGCTCTATGTTAGTAAATGTAGGTGAGACTACCTTGCACACATTGCACTTTTGAGCCAGGATACTATTAGCCGTTAAAATTATCTTTCTGTATCAGACACTGGTGTGTGGTGATTATATGGACCTTAAAAGTCTCTGATCTTCCACAGATCCTAGGTTCTTATCATCAATGAATGGACTTTTTAAATAAAAATTGTATGACCTGTGTGTTCGCACAAAATCTGTGACGCAAAATGCTGTCTGGCAGATTAATGTAACTGATCAATCTGTTGATGCATTTGTTGCCAGACCCAGTGCTAATTCAGGATCATAGTTATATTACATAACTGACATAATTTAACAGAGCAGGCATTTTCTTCAGCTTATTCCTGAGAATTGAAATGTGCTTCCCATCCATCAGAAAATTAACTTATCCAAAAAACTGAGCCAAATAAAAATATTGTGCCAGAAATGACAATCATCAGGTCATTTGAATTAAGCAACTTTTAATTCAAAAGGATAGGCTGTATTCACTAGTCAGTCATTAAATGAGCCAAAGAGCACACAGTCATTTAAATTGCCAGTCAGTGAATGGCAGATATGATAGGCACTCACAAGTAGCATAAATCACCATAAAACATGCCTGTTCCTGTTACATATAGATCAAGTGGCAGCTGTGCAGTATTTATCATTGATGCTTTTCAGCATGTGTGCTAC